GTTTTAAATTATAAGGAAATACTTCTAAACCGCGCAATTAGCCTCTAAACTTGCATGTTTTTAAACCTCAAAAAGTTGCTTATTTCAATTATTTTCTTGTAAAGTTCATATTTACTGAGATATCGCACTTTGACGCACTAATGAGCAACCCTGTATAGAGAATTTGTTTTGTTAATTTGTTAGAGAGTTGCAAAAAATATAGAAAAATGAATGGAAGAATATAGAAAAATGAAGAGGAAATATAGAAAAATGCAAAATATTTTTGGATTAGTGAGAGGTACATTTTACACAAAATAAATAAATATGTTTGTTAATTGTTTTATTGTTGCTAAATAAATAATGTTTTCTTTCTGCAATTGCTGCTAGCAATGTGTTACTTACATAAATCGTACATAAATATTCTTAAAAGACTCAAAGCTTCGCTACTAAACTCATCCAGTTAACGAGATTAGTAAGAAGAAATGATTAGTAAAATAAATGAAATTTAATGCAACTCAATGTTACAAAATGTGAGACACTATAATACCAACAGGTATAGTTTCATACACAATCAAGCTGTTTTGAACATATACAGGGTGAATCAGTTTATAGTAGCAGGAAGTCGTTATAAAATCCAATTTTAGGATCCAAATAGCATATAAATATAATACAGGGTGTCTCACGATCAGCGTCCATTAGAATATTTCGGGAAGCAATGCGATTTGAATCCCGCAAATTTGGATCATGGGATTTTCGGAGACGCTCTTTTCAGATGAACAAAAATTTCGATGACATCAATTTTGTGCACATTTACAAAGCCGACAAAAATCAGGTTCCGGATGGATTTTTCTGAAACTTTCCACGTCTATAGTGTCAAGTGGTTACTAAAGATACTAAAAGATGCAACTACTTGCCTGCTTTAAGCCCGACGAATCAATTCGTCCGTCGTCGTACGAATTGATAGATCTTTTTTTTTTTATCTGAAAAGAGCGTCTCCGAAAATCCCATTATCCAAATTCGTAAATACGACTGGAAAATTATTTCTATTCATATTTACGGACACACGATTTTTTTTATTTAAAAATGAAAAAATATAATAAAAAAAATTTAAGTTGCCAAACAACTGAGGAACTTGATGGGAAAAACTTAGATCTTTAATTATTTTAATATCATACTGTTAAAACAAAACAGATTGTTAGCCCTTCTTCTCTGACTAGTTTTTGTATTATTTTGCACACTGATGTGTGCAAAAATTAATAAAAAACAATTAAAATTATTTAAAATTGAAATATAAGTGCCATGTGGCGCCATCTGAAAATTTTTCGGAAACTTGGACATGATGGGATGCGGTATTGTGATAAGCCCTAGATATAGAATTTTATTACAGTATCTGAAGACTTTTGTGAATGATTTAAAAAAATGAAAATAACATGTTAACTTAGCCATCCTGTATCTCAAAAACGAAGCCAATATATGAATCTATAATATTTTCACCTTAAAACTGGATTTTCTATCGACCGTTAATGTCCTGCTACTATAAACTGACTCTTCCTGTATTTGTAACATTTAAATAATCCATTTAATTTCACAAAGTTTTATTTAAAATAAAATGGAAATAAGTATGTTTTTATTTGATGGATGGTTTGAGTTATACACTATGTGGTAAATATTCAGACTTTTCGCAACAAAGTCGGGTATTAATTATGACATTTCAAAATATCAATTTTTTTTCAAATACTCAATTTGTTTACACTCTGTTAAAATGTAGCTCTCAGTACGCCTCAGAAGGTTTGATATAAACGATTTCTCTCTAATTGTTATACCCTCCTTTTCTGGATTTATGGTGTTCTCTGACATACTATATATACGGTGCCAATAACACAGAATATATTAACTGATCATTAAATTCATAATCAATGGAAACTGTTGGACTTTGATAAAACAGGTATTCAAGAAAATTATTATCAGACGGATCTTTCTATTTACAAAAATATTGTTCATAGCAGAAGCTGGTACGAAGATGTATAGATGTATAGATGTTTGCCCTGATTACATATACACGGTGATCCAAACAATGTTCAATGTCCAAAAACAAAATAAAAACTTGTATTTGCCACAGATATACTTGTACTTTTTTCGAAATACCTACATTATAGTTTTTGTTTTCGAGTATCATTCTTGCGGTCTTTCAGAAATTTTGCGAACAATGGGCGAAGCTATGAAGGGGGAATAAATGAAGCATTTTAATTGGTTCTGGAGTGTAGAATGTGTCTGCCTTATTGTGCAGTTTTCTGTCTCATTGTTTGTTCATTAATCTCGGGAACTCCTCACTCCTTAAGACAGATTTGATTTATATATTTCGCGAATGTAAATATGTGTTGATCAACATTAAACTCATCCCCTCTGTATGCACTCCTGACTTTCAGATATTCATATTCTAATAATAAATAATAATTCGTTAATATGAGCAATGCTGTTTTTTAAAAATGACAATCAACCTGTGAAAAGCTAACAGAAATTAAAACGAATAAAAAAGCTAATCAATACATTAGACAATAATGTCACATTTTACATAATAATTCCTTAATTAGGCATGTATTTTCTATCAACATTTTTGGATATTTTCTTAATTGGGCTTATTTTTTATTGTTTATATGAAGGTATGTTAGGACTCGTAATTTTTTTTCAAATTAATTTTATCTGCAAAAGCACATTGTTAATTCGTTATATTCAACATATCGACCGCTTGGCAAAAAATGATGATGTTATTGGTATGTCGTCGATATACCCCTAGAATCGAAAAGATCTTGAAAATGAGCGAGTATAACTGTGAAATTAAGATAAAATATAAGTAATCATTTTTATGAAAATAATACATGGTTTTCCAGAGTATCTATGCATTCTTAAGCTTCAATTATTTTACTGATAGCCGAAGAAATGTGAGTTTGATTAATTAATGAAAATAGTTCAACAACAAACAATATCTATTTCGATCTTTAGCATTTTTTCGTTTGGAAATTTTTAATATACCGAAGTTTAGAACTGGAACAAGTCACTGTAGTGTTGTACATTTCTTTATTTGCTATTTAAATTTTTTATACGCCGCTTTAAACAATGAACAACTAAATCAAAAAAGTCAATATCAGAATTAATAAGACGGTATGTCGCTCAATTATATATTTTGATACATCCGTTATGCTTAGTAAAGGTTTATATTCATCAAATTCTAGACATATTTTCGAGACATGCATTTCGAAAACAAAAGGTACACAATATGTAGGTACATACTTGTAATGTTCAAGAATGTAATTCTTGAACTTAAATTTGAATATTAGAAAGTTAGGAATACAGAACTCAGTTTCTGCATCTTAATAACAATAACTTCTTTTCATAATTATAGCGATCGACCGTCTATTATGTTTACATACACTCATAAAGCGATGTCAAATACATTCTATCCACCCCAAAATGCACGCTGTTGACGTGAAATAAATGTGACTTTTAAACTGATCGGAAAAAATGTGTAGAATTGTTCAATTTTCTATCACAAACAGTTTTTCTAACATAGCCGACAAACAAAACAATGATGTTTCACGCTTTTCTATAATTTCTTTGAGGGGACATTGGTGAGGTTCTACCACTTAGTTTGGACCACCCTGTATAATTTCTAAAAAATAAAATGAAACCTTATTTAATCAATTCATTAATTCGAAGTGAGAGTAAGATTGAAGCTCTAAAGTACCATCTTTATATTAGGCTCTCATTTTTAATCTACCATAATGAGATGAAGTTGCTTCAGTTTAACCCTATTAGTGAAACTTGAAATTAATTCGCCAATTAAATAATTGATTAATTTTAACTAGATAAGCAATTAGCTTCCCATCCCCAATAAGCATCAAAATATCATACATGTAATAAGGTATAGTCTGTGATAGTTTTACCTGAATTGCTATAGATTCATCATCATCGGCTTTCTTCACAGCATTTAATAGTTCTTGCTTAAGTCGGCTTTTTACTGGTGAAGAATTTGCAGACATAGAAGTTCTTCTTTCGCCTAGAGCAGACACGCTTCTTCTGCCTAATGAAATAGACGTTAAAATTAGATACAATTGTAAGAAACCCATTGTCATAATGAATGAACAAAAATTCGAGGTCCTCTGCCTTCTTGGGTTAAAATATAGCAGAAATACTGCTAAGGGCCACTATTGCGGTCTTCTAAACAGTAAGTTATCGTGGATTTACAAATTCGGTTAAATTAGGCCAAAGTTGTAAAATTTGATGGAAATTCAAGATTTTGAACCAATGTGGACAATTTTTTTTCCAAACGTTTTTTGCACATACATAAAAAACAAGGGTTGTCGAAAAAAACATGTCCCATCATTTGATTAGTTTGGGTTAGTTTGGGTAACGCTGTACTTTCAGTTTATGATACATCGACACTAACTATTTTTTTAAATACGGACCTGCGTTTTTTCTCGCTCTTCTTAATGCATATTTTTTGTTAATTTCAATTATGTACAATTAACAATAAATTTTGATGATACATTTCTCGGCAAAAACGCCGGCAAATGTAAACGCCTTGGAGATTATTGAAATCAGGATAAAATATGCATTTCAATGTACGAGAAAAAACCCCATGTGTGTGCTTAAAAAGTTGGCGTTAGTGGCCATATCGCCTAAGCTGAAAGCCCTATTTTGTTAAACTTAATTTAATGCGTAGAGTCCTAAAAACGAATATAATGTTGAAAGAACAATTTTGTTCAACAACCCTTAGTTAGCCTTTAGATTTACTTGCAACAAACATTTTCGGTTATATTTCTTTTTTTTTAAATAAATCCGAAACCGAATAAGGTTACCCTGTATATTTGCAAACGTCTTCTTTGCGCTTCACAAGAATGTGCCAAATTTTGCCGTTTTTTTTTTAAATATGTACAAAACGCATTTACCATTAAACCGAACTTATGTAAAATTTAGATTGGCGTGCTCAACTCATAAACAACTACCTCGATTCTCTCCGAAAGAGATACATCTTAAACTGAGACTTCAAACGTTTATCTTAAAGTAAAACCATCAGCATCTTCAGGGCACGCCTAATAAATTATGTGAAACGTTATCCATCTACTTCAGTACAAATGCACTAAATAAATAATTAAAATTTAAGTGCAATTACCAGTGGCGTTTCTCTGGAAAGGTGAAACATATGTGTCTGGTCCGATGCTGCTTCTAACTGGTCTCTGCCGTCCATTCCAAGTATTCGTTTTACTATCGGCTTTTTTGGTTGTGATGGGTGGAACAGCTGGAGCCCTTTTGGGACTAGTTATAACCTTGTCACTACTACTCGCCCGTTTTAGTTGTGGACGCTCCTCGGGACGTGGAGAACTCCTCATAGAACCAACAGAGTGTTGCCCTGAAAATTAACTCATCATTAGATACGCAAATTGTGGTTTGAATGTGCTGCTGAAGTCTACCTAAATTTTCACTAGGCTTTTGGGGACAAAGTATGGTTTTTTCACTATCAGTCTCCGTCGTAGGGGACTGAGGATGCGACCTTGGTGGTTCGGGTGTTCTTCTCAACAATTTGGAATCGTTTTCATAGATTCTCTGCGAAAAGTTGGTCTTCCGTAGACCGAAATCATTCAGCTCGTCTTCTGTATAGATATGTTGCTGTTCTACACACGAAAGAATCAAACGTTAAAAATTAATGTTGCACAATGAGGTTTCGACGAGGGGTTTACCGTTTTCTTCAACATCTTCAGCAGAGTTCTGACTATAAACAGAAGACCTTTTCTTGTTTTTATCTTGCACTATTCCCAAACTCCTGTACCCTTCGTCCGACATTTGAGACGACGTGTCGCTATGATTATCGCTACTGTGTGATTCACTGCTCACTTGGAGAACCGCTTCGGATTTCATCACCTGAAGACAAACATCTTTGTTGAAACATCGTGTATATTTATAGATATTTTAAAAGAAAAGTCAAATAGCTGTGTGAACATAGGTAGAAAACAAACGTAAATGTATCATGAGACTTGAAACATAACGTAAATTTGAGTAGGTAACTGTCTGTTTGAGGATTCTATTAATTCGAAATGGTTGAGCTTCTGCAATCAGCGTATAAAAATTACTGTTCTGCCCATTAAATTTACTCGGAACTTCAATATTTTTGCCTTGTGGTTCTTAATAATTAAGACGAAGAAGTTGCGTTTTTATAAGTTTTAGTCAGAAATCATTTAGAAAATTCGGTCCGCTTCGGAAAACATTTTACTTTAAAACTCTGCTCGATCATAATAATAGGGCTTTCAATTATGCTTCTTTAATATTATATGAATGCTTCTAACTGAACTTCTCATATAAACTTCTGCTTCTTACAAAGAGGCCGCAGATAAGCGATAAAAATGATAATACCTAAATGAACGGTACACAGTCAATTTTGCTCTCAATTTGGAACTGGAAAAATTCTAATTACTTCGAGCGATTTGGTTTCTGTTCGAAGTTAAAGCCTTATTTAGCACCATTTGTGTTCTGTTAGTCCATGTTGTGAAAATTTAGCACATCAGATAATTTTTTCCATGGTTAGTGGCAATTGAAAAAATTGAAAATTGCAGAAAGTTCGACATGCTTCTATTTGGACAAACATTTTTTTTTTTCAACCCCAAAAGTTTCCATTATTTACAGGGTGGTCTCAAAAATCAACTTTTTGGTCCTGCAACAATAACTTTTCTTCTCTTGAATCGATTTTCACGATCAAAAGCTCATATTGAAGCTAAAAATTCATAGACAATCTAAAACCAAAATTCGATATACATGGTTGCATAAGGAAATCCCAAATCAAAATTGCCCCCGAAATCTGTGATTCTGGAAGATTTTCAACTGAGTGTATTGAAGTTTATTTTCAAATATTTGTCATGTCAGCCTGTATATTGATTTTTTCCCTAATGTCGACTGTGAAGTGAAGTCAACATGAGCTCTAGATTTTGAAAATCGGTTCAAGAGAAGAAAATTACCACTGCAAACCAAGTAGATTTTTTTCAGACCACTTTGTCAATAAACGAGATGGGGTTTATCGTGATGCTTGTGATATTGTAATAGTAAAAAAGTTTTTTTTTCCTCCAACAGAGAACATGTGGAACTTTCACCAAATTTGTATTGTTTTAGTTGCCATCTTTTAAGAAACTTTATCTGAAGTACTAATTTATTGAACAAACGGGAGAATTGAACAAAAATTGCACTAAAAACGCTTCAAGCAGAAAACAAAACTGCGACAACAGTCAGAATTCATCCAGTTTCAAAGGTAGGCCAAATTTGCCAGTTGATTTTATTGAGCAGTTTATTTCCTCGTCATGGCCAAATGGTTTTTGCGTTTTGAGATTTGCTGCTCGAAAGCACTTGCTCATTGGAACGTGTTTTTGTTCCTCACTGGTCGCTAAACAGTTCATTTTAATTTTCCAGATTTGGCTTATCTGCAAGTTCAAATATTGCAACTCGATTTTCTTCGAAATCCAGTAGTACTTCTTTAGAATGTTATAACTAACTGATAAATGGATACGTAATTTTTCCAGTATTACGCTAAACTTTGACACTTGCCTTACTTTCTACCGGTATTTGAATGCTGGCAACGTGTTTGGATTTGGGGGACGTGGGAATGAACGGTAAACTTTGAGGGCCCGAGTTCTTTACCACGTGCTGTGGACTCTTATTTGTTGCTAGTTTGGTGTGATGAGTGGAGGTAAAGTTCGGAGTTGGACTTCTAGATCTGCAAGAAAGTATGTTTCCATAGAGTCCTCATGATTTGATTGACTTTCTAAAAGTAATTACCTATTGTGAGACGGTGGAACCAAGTTTTTCCTTGGAAAGTTAGGACTGACCGATCTTCGGGAATCTGGATATAAATGGGATGGCGATCGGGATCTCGATCGATTTAGGGAATTCATTGGAGGCCCTAAACTGTGCTGACCATTGGATACGCCGTTGATTGTGGGTGGAAGTGATGCTGGTGATGTGGCTGATCTGGAAAGAAAAGTTGAATTTTCAGTTTTAAATGCTGCGTTAATTTAACCAATTTAATATATTTTTTAAATATTTCCCTTAACTTTAACTGCTACAGTCTTTTTGGTGAGATTTCCTTCAACACCTTTACTTTGCATTAAATGAAATTCATACATCGCAAAGAACTTGAGTAGAGTGTGTAGACAGGAAGCGCCAAGATTTATCGCGCTCTTATAAATATATGTAGACAAGTACAATGCACTTGACTACCCTCTGCAGTTATTAAATAAAGCTTTTAATGTCTTGTAAATATGTTTACATATGTGTTACAATAGCGCCACAATTGTTTGCTTCAGTACTTTTTGTTCTTTTATCAGGCACTTTCGCATCTAAAAAGAAGATCCGACAATGTTATCAGCAACGTTTTTTAAACCACATAACTCAGATACGCACTGTCCCTATTTTAGACAAGATTTAAACATTAGGCTAATACGTTTAGCAACTGAGTAAATTGTAAGATTTATTAAGATAAGCATGCATGTAAACGAAATGACGCATTCTATTTGACTATATGGGATCATGAAGTTAAGAAATTGGGAACGCAGTGGAGGTTCATTTGTTTCATTTATTTGTACGGGTTTAGAATAAGAAATATGTGAATCGTTTGAAAAAAAATAAAAATGATGTACAAATTGTAGCTGGCGATTGCAAAAGTATGAAACGCATATTTATTAACGTAGTATTTGCTCGGAAACACCCTATATGTCTTTTAATGTCATTAGGTATTATTTTTGGTTGTTCTTTTTTAAATTATAATGTCAAAAACTGTGTTTGTATAATTACTGATTTTAGTCATATTTAAAACTTATACAATGACAATCGTTTTATGTTTACAATGTCTCAAAAATGTGGTTTACACAAGTTATTGCCAGTCGTCGTAATAGTGAGAAAATAGTAAATGCAACACCCTATACATTCACTTCATTAACTTTACCTATATATTTAAATTTGGTATTCCTTTAGGGAGACTAAAATACTGGTGGAATTATTAATGGAACAAATAACATTTTCTACTGTCAGGATTTTATGTGCCTCAGCCTAGAACTTAACACGATAATATACATATTATTACTTAATCATAGATCATTTTCGTAAGAATTTTGCAATTCATTAGAATGTTACCAAAGTAAGCAAAACAGTAAAGCCTTTACAGTACAAGGGCTTTAACATTTCTAAAATGTGTATATTTTACAATTTATGAACAAACATTTTAACTCAATTGAACGAATTAAAAACCTATGGACTTTCTTCGACCTATAGACTTTCAAAGGGAATTAAAAGTTCCTCATAAAACATTTATTTTTGGATGACACCTATCATTTCTATACTAAACAGCGTAGGTTTTAAAAAAAATTCTACTGTGAATATTAATATCAAATTCTGTATTAAAATAACAGACAAAAAGTGAAAATTTAAATTTGAAATTTGCGTATAAAAAACTTATAACAATTTTGATAAGAGTTCGCCTTTAATCTAAGATCTAAGAGTTATAATACTTTTAATTAATTTTTGATGAAATTGTGATTAACTCATAAATTTGCATGTTTAGGTGCCTAAAAACGCCAAATAAATTGAAATTATTTTCTGTTTAAAACATCTTATAGAAAACTGCTTAAATAATGTGAGTTTCATTGAAAAAAACTCGGATACTTTCGACGATTTTCCCTGTCAACTCATTTAACTCCACATCTTTCAGCGTGTCCGTCGGTTCTAATCTCTGTTCAATCTGTCTGTTGAACTCTTTCTACTACTCTCAAGTATTTCGCTCATTCATGCAACCCGGTCTATCGATTTTTTTCCGAAAGTCTGCTGTGAAGTTTTACCTTCAACACGAGCCCAGGATTTAAAAAAAGGATCGAAAAGTTAATTTTCCAAAGACCACTCTATAAATGAATGAGATGGAGAGGTGAAAATAGAAGAGGGTTATTCAAATTATTAAATTTGAAGCAAATATTATAACTTTATGCATTAAGTTTTTTTCTGGCAACCTGTACATTTATGTTTTATTGAAGTCATTATACTGCTTTATAAAAGCCGAACACAAATTGTTCTCAAAATTTATTGATTACGAATACCTTATCCTTCTTTGTCGTCTATCGTGACTAATTTTCTGTAGAATTGAAGTATGAATCATATTAGACAGTAAATTGGGATTGTCGTCTAGTATGAGTAAATTATATTATTAATACATATAATACATTTGATGGTTAACTAAATATTTTGTATGTAATTACTTATATTGTTTTAATATTTGTAATTTGAAAATAAAATATTATTTATGTCAGATTAAACAATAAAACCGACTTTACAACAAAATCTAAGATAGATACAAATTAACTACTCTGTGAGATTTTCTTTAAATTGAAATATGTATTACGCGTTTACTGAAAATCGTTACTATATTTTTTCTACTGCTTTATAATTAAATAATATAATAAACTAATTATTTTATGTGTGATTTTAAAGATATAGCGAATGTTTCGGAAATGTACCTTCTGTTTCAAGCCGTGTCAGACATGCTAACTATTTTTATTTATATTATAAATAAGCCATTGTATTTTAATAAACATATTTGCAAATAGTAAACAAGATAATTAATGTTAAGTACATTGACTCTTGCATCGGTCGGCGCTCATTTATCGGTTTCCAATTTACTTAATTGCTTTTTTAAGTAATACCTATGATTGCATGTACATTCCAAAAGAACGTAGGTTTGCTAAATAATAATGCGCCCGATGATTCATTCATCAAACAACAGAAAAGTTTTAAAAAATCTGTTGAGTCAGAATTGTTAATACCCACCTAAAAATAAATAGCTGTAGAAGCTTATGGGAAGTGAAAAGCGAGAAATTAAAAATTAATTGTGATGGTTCAATTTTATTCAGCTTTTTAATTTCAGAACGTAATATAATTGAGGATATTTTTACGTTACATTGGTTAAGTGACCACATATTTACACTGAATTATATGCTAATAAGTTTTTTAGCTACGTTTATTTGATGATTTTGAAATAAAATCTCTCAGAATTCATAAGAAAAACGAAAATGTATGTCTTGCATGTATGGATAAATTAAGTATATAAAACAATGTATGTAAATACATCCACGTGAAAATATAAATCAGGGAATGGTTTCAAACATAAATCACATACTTATTATATCAAATTTCTACACTGAAAAAAACTTCTTAGGAAAGTTGTAGATTCGCAGACTAGGAAATGTTTTTGAAAAGCATAATCAAATGTCTTCCTAGTTTTTTAGAAACAGCGGACGGTTCAGTGCTGTAAGATTTTTATTTAAAGTAAAAAGTATTTTCATAAAAAAAAATAAAACTGAGTACTTGTTAAAGTGTGAGAAAATTGTATTACGGAAGTCGCTCAATCTTACCGACATCATGTACAAAACATTTATACCGAAAAATAAAGGAAGTGCTTTTTTCTAGCAGCAAATCAATTGGAATAAATACACTCACCGAATGAAAATGAAAATTTTAGCAAAGGCAAACTTAAAACTGAGAGGAAAAATATTGATAACAATAACTGAAAATTGAAAAAGTTCATCTCTAATTGTAATATTTGATTGATTAGTATTATGAACTCTTTGACTATTTGAATAGAAATAGTTTATATTTATAAATCATCATGTGTATTTGCTAAACAGCCAATTAAACATAATACGCTAATAAAGCTATTAGGAAGTGATTCGAAGATAAAAATTACAATAAAAATGCTAACGGTATCTATTAAACACATGCTTGATTTGAATATAACAAATTATATTCCAATAAAATTGAAATTAGGACGGGCTTGCTTAGATCATAATTAAATCAAACCGTTAAGACTGAATCTGTTCGCTGTAGGTAATCTACGCCATCTGCTGAACCACTATTAATTTTTTTTTAAATACATGGTGTCCCGACATTGTTGGTCAACAATGATAGGGTGTACAGAAGACCTTTGGGAAATTGTTTAAACATTTTAGTTGAACCCGGAATAACATAGCAGCTCTTCTTTGGTGGTCATAGTAGTAGAGTAAACCAATGCTTTGAGGTGACACCAAAGAAGAAAATCTAAGGGGTTAAGGCCAAGAGAACGGGGTGGATGGTGTGGTATCAAATCACATTAGCCAAGTGCTCTTAAAAATGGGTCTTGCTTGATCAAATCCCCAAATTTGGCAACACCGTTAAATTTGTACTCATTATAAAGTTAATTTTGACCGTAACTGTACAATAACAAGATTTCGGATAAATTTCCAATTCAAAAAGGCGAGTATCCATGAGCCACTTTTGCTGCAAAAATTTCACGAACGACAAATTAACGGTGTAACAATTAAGAATAAATTTAATTTTTCAACAAGTCGCTTTGTCAAGTATAAGTTGAGCGCGTTTAATTTTAAAAATATGTTTTTAAGAGTGTCTCCTAAGCCCCGTGTAAACTAAGTTCTTATCGTAACTAAACACGAAGGAGCATTGATTTGTTCAAGCTTTAAGGACACTAAAGACATTTGGCAATTCAATTGGTTAAAAATTTACCTGTCGTAAAAGACTTGAGCTCCATGTAAATCAGGTGCCCTCCCAGGTATCAAACGGGCACTTTGTGTGGGTCTATGTTGTCCTTTACATCTGCATGGGTCATGTTTGTCCAGGTAATGCGCCAAAGTGTCCCAGCCACCTCCTACTCGTACCATGACATGTTTTCGTAAAATCTGAAAGCAAAATGTCGTTTAAAATCAGTTTGCTCAGGCACATGGTTCTACTTAACTAAATAAAATTTTCAATTTCCTAAAAACAGTAGTAGTACCTATACACAGTTGAAGTACAAAACAGTTTAAGAATGTTTAAGCAGCATCGAATAACACTAAAGTTAATAAATTATAATGGATGTAAACTTATTTGAAATACAAAATTCTATGCTTCTCTTTAGAGGTACACCGAGCTTCAAAGTTAGAAATTCGGAAATTTACGTTAACGCTAATAGCTAAACTATTTTGGCAACAACGCAAACATGTTTAAATTTATTTTTCTTATAAAATTATAGCAAAAACTAGTTTTATTCTTGTCAATTATTTTGTTTCCAAAAAGATCAATCTATACTTAGTGGTAACTAGTATTCTCGAATGAATACCAAACAATTAATATTCAATATAATAATATCACTAAATTTATGTAATTGAACCAAGCTTTTTTGATTCTTGTAAGTATCTTGATTCAGCATGTGCATTTTGATCTTCGATGGATCTTTTTTACATCTATACATGTGTTCTTTCAGAGTCCCACGTATTCAGTTTTGTTTTGTTAGAGATAGTTAATATCTGTTTCATTCATTTGCTAAGGTATGTTTGCATATACATAATGGATTTTACTTACTTTGTCATCTTTAATTTAATATTTACGTTTATTTTATCTGTTTAATTAAAGAAGTTATATCCATAATTGATTTTGAATTATTAGTTTCCGAATAGGAAACTTACGGTTCTATTGTACTCAAATTGCAAACAATTGTATTGCGAGAAACAGGATGGATTTGTAAAATATAAATCCCAATATGACGAAAGTTTGCAGCAATAAATATTTTTTTTCCTTGATTAACATTCTTAACAAAGCTATTTGAGTTCCAAAATGTTGAAAATTCGGATTCACTTTCATTAGGCAAATAACCACAGCTTGATTTCACTCGCTTCAGAATCGCCATTCATTAAAATAGAGATCAAAATGCGAACAAGGCTTAACAGTAATAATTGGATTATTTTCCTATGCGATTTTTCTCCATTAAAATACCCACGTATTGCATTGTCGCTACTTTGTTTATATGCGACCTTTTGCTAATAAAATTTTATAGCTTTTCTCATTGCCATTGTGATTGGCATTATAATTAGTTAATTAGGAGAGATCTTTAAATACTCTATTGCGAAATCGAATTGCATCAGTATTACGTATTTAAATATTAGAACAAATTGATATTATTATATTTCTTCAGAATGTAGAAAAGTTGTATTATCTGGTTTGACCAGTTATTTAAAAAGGAGCATCATACTTTCAAAAGAACAACAATAAACTGATCAAACAATAAAGAGGAGAAGCGCAAATATCAATGTTATATGCAGATATATGTTATATGCAGATAGAGATAAAAATGTAGCAAAAAAATACATTAAAAAATAACACGTTTTCAGCTCACAGAAAATGTATTCTTTGTGAGTTCAGAAACTGAGACAGAACATAAGACAAAACAGAAACATAAGCTGCTCTAGTTCATCTTAATTGATAAGGATCTCATCAAACATGAAAATCAGCTAAATTCATTCTAGTTTCATTTAAATTGACAATGTTCTCAAGGTTCTGAGCAACAACCACATATAAGAACAATATTCAAATAATACGGTATGTTTTTCACGTATCACATAAACCATCTCAGCTTATGTAAATCTTCATGTCAAGACAAAACGAAGAAAATAAAACTGAAACAACGTAAAAGTTTCGGTACCGTTATATGTAAATCGATATAATTGAGCAATTTTTTAGTATGTTTCGCCCACCATTTATTAATGCATTTTCTTAGAAATAGTCAAATGTGTGTTCGATTGAAACATTCAACCTAGTTAAATGGGAAAATAGCACTAATTATTTGGAGATATAATAGGATATACAATCGTTCAGTTGTTGTTGGAAGTGAGAAACCATATACTGTTCCAAACAGTAGCACTTAACTCTTTAAAATAAAAAATAAGACCAATAAAATACAAAATATGTAAGAAATCTTAAAATTATTTTGTAGCTTTTTGTTCATGTGGATAGAACACTTTCTAAAATATGACTCAATGGACTTAAAAGGGCAAACTCGTTAGTTCAATTGAGCAAGTTAGAGTCGCTTCTTAATATGGATCACATGCTTCTACTATCCTAAGTTCTTTTAAAATGTTTTCTGTTTTAATTGCTGTTTTTTAGTTTTTCACATCATCGTAACAAAATGAGGTTATTTCTTTAAGAAACATGGTTCTGTGTTCTACAGATTTCGTTCATTCTCTTTTGTATTTGAAGCAAACAAGAGAAACGAAATTAAATTAATAAGGATATAAATAATGGCACTGGAAAAACATGAAAATTTAGTAGGCTGGATAACACATTATGTAATATGTATATGTTTGACAGATGTTGAAAAATAGAAAATATTGAGGATGAACAAGATGCTGCATTCGAAAACATGAAACAGTTAATGCGGAAAGATGAAAATATAAATATAAAGTAGGAAAATACGAATATGAATGAAAAAAAAATGTTATAGCAGAAGAAAAAAAAAGATGTAGTAATTCACGGTAAAGATAAATTTGAAAGACGACAAAGTAATAACAAAATATCTGATGAACTCAGTTAAAATCCTGTAGAAATAAAACGAGCTAAAGAATTGCACATAGTAGGTGTGCTTGGTATCACTGGATAGAATGCAAGACAAAATTAAATTATTGTGGAAGACCATAATAAAATCACATTAAAAGAGTACCACAATGAAATTATATTTATTGAGTATGATCCATAAAAAAGTAATTCATAAATCAGCGAAGTAAAGACAAAGCGTCAAAAAAGCTTTTGCACATACCCCAGAACAAAGTTATATGAATAATGAAGTTTTAGAAAATGATGTTATAGAAATAGTGCACGCGCATAATGAAACCGGCATTATTGTAGACCAGAAAATAATTTAGGAAGAGTTAACAATATCAACGAATAAAGCACAATATATAATATTCGTAATTGGCGATTTCAATGGCAGAATTTGAAGGCAAATCAAATTATATAACGCATCTATTAGAAACCATGATGAGAGTTAGGAAATAAGAATGGTTAACGAATGCTAGACATTTGCTTGATAAACTAATTACAAATATACGTTTTAAACGCAGGGTAGAGACAAGTGCACTTCAAGGTCTGTTTGTGTTACATAATTCTTGGATAAAAAAATTACCTTTCTGGCATAATTTGAACACCGATTTTACTTTGCTCAATGATATTCACGTGGTTTTGTCGCATTGAGTATTAATTTAAAGAAAACTAAACTGCTACTGCTCTATACCATCGTAAGGCATTTGGGTCAAATAGCCAATCGAAAACGGGGAAACCAACTTACCCTAACAAAAATTAGAACTTTCGTATCTCCTATTCTGTATTTTCCTTCTGATACTCGAATCATCGGGAACTGAGTGGGACAGGTACATAGAGCGACCAAGTCACGAACCTGAAAAGAAAAAAATATTATAAAAAACATTTCACATATGAATTACTTGCAATTATCTCTAAACTAGATCAGAATTCATTTCTCGTTAAGTACCGGTCAAATAATTGAAGAAGTAGAATACGGTTTCTTTGTACTAGTTATACATAAATATGCTTAAATTGATGTCTATGTATAGTCGTAATTCACAATTACAATTTCATTCTGCAATCGTTTATATCGGTATGTAAGCTGATACATTAATAAATCACAAATAGAAGTAAATACTTTCTAGTAAGCGGGGGTGCCCTTATCTGAAGTTTTTTGGACAGAGACTTCTAAAAATAAAAAAAAATGGAGTAATCGATCAAGATCATTGTAAAATAATCAAAAACAGGAATAAACCTGGCAATCAACCCAGTTAATTCTAAGATTTATGGTTTCAGTTCTTTATTAGCTGTCTTCCTCCTTTATTAGTGAACGAGGCGATTATTAGAAGTTTAGATAAGCAAGTAAAATTTTATTGAAAGTGCACAGGTTAGCATATCCCATATATTTAATTTTTAAGGAGGCAAAGCCTGTGAAAAGGCCAATAAACGAAAACAGTTTTTATTTTTAATCAATCTAGATCAAGTCTATTCCGCGGCGATTTTCATAAATAATGGTTACGGATTGCCAGGGAGGCAACAGCTAATTAACTATTATTTACTTCTCGAAATTAGCTTTTCATTTATTTCATGTTTAGCTGGAAGCTCATCGCGCGAGAATTTCTCGCCGAAACAATTAACTCGCGCATTGTTATACTTTCTAAACATCTGACGATCGATTCAATCAATTACGGTCAATTACGTCTAATTCGATTAGAATCGTAATTTATCATCCAATTAGCTAATAATTGATACTGCTAGTAGATATCGATCAAGAATAGCGCCAATAGACCAGAAGCTATAAATGCTATTTGTTGATAAGCATTAGTGGGAAATTTATGTTTGTTGTTCATTGTAAACGCCAATGTGTTTTATATTAAATTTCATCAGCAACTGTTGAAACAAATGACCAACGAACGCGAAAGGTACTTTCTGAATAATAATTTGAAATTGTTCTTTCAATGAAGTAGTGTTTATATTATTGGACACAGGTGAACCATAGGAAAGTTTCAATGCACCCTAACTTTTTATTAATCATCGAGTATTATTAGCTCGTTTTAAATCTACTTCAAAACTAAAAATAAACATGGTTAGCACCAGTATGGTAAAACTATTTAACTCATATTAGCTTATATTAGCATTACTAAATGAAGTCAACTATAGAAAAATACATTATTTTTACTAAGCGATGTAGGTTCAAGATGTCTACAACAGTTACGCAGGAAGTTCAATAAAAGAGTACACTTTAACATATTTTCATTTCTTCTTGGGAAAAAAGTGAAGTTTTTTGAATAGACTTCAAATATTTAAAAATCCACTATGATTCTTATAATATTACATTTTAAGGTAAACAGCTATAACTTCTTAAAGCAGATTTTTGGTAACTTATCGTCTAACACGACACTTAAAATTAAACCAAATTATTTCCATTGACCATAAGTGTAAACTACTAAGCTTTTAAGAAATAAGGGAAGAATTGTACTTCAGTATCAATCCAGTATCAATAATTATTGCGATTAATCAATCAATGTTAAAAATTACATTTATCTGATAAATACATATTATAAAAGAACATTTATGGGTGAGTTTACAGATGGGTGACTACACCCATCTGTAACTCCTACAAAGATCTAGATGTAGCGTGTGTATATTACTTTCTTCACAAAAGTGTCTTTTACGCATAAAATCTGCGAATCTTTAAAGTTTATCATACTTGTATTGCATTATACATTGTAATTTGGGTGCGGAAAACTGTACTGGGACAAATTTGTTGTAATTTTTGTGCCGGAAGTGATAAACATTGAATGTATATCACATTCAAGAATTCAACCGGTTTGTCCATGTGAAACATGAATTTAACGTTCTAATCAGTACTTTTTGTGTCAACCATAAATATTAGCTGCAGATCCTTAGTGGAAAATTCCATGAAGTATTTTGAGGGGTTGTGCAGTTTTGCTCTTTCTGAACAACGCGTAGGAGAATATTAGCACCCCCGTATTTACAAATACATACCCCATAACAGCAGTTATTTTTGATAAATTCGGAATTTCTCCTTCAATGAGAGCTTTATACTAAGTAGAAGCAAACAAGAATTGAAATAAATACTGAAAATAACTGATCTTTAATGGGATTAAACGAAAATATTGGACTGAGCCACATGTAAACAAATAGTAATGTATCACATTCGTAGAAAATATTGAGTAAGTCTAGTGACTGTAGAGCCCATCCCATAATCTCCCAACTATTACTCATTATTGACATGGCCCATAAAACTATAAGCTTTGGACGATAAATTAATTTATGTATAATGTGACTCCAGATACGTTTAATTAAACAGTGCTAAGGATAAAGTCTGTAGATACGCTGGCAATGGCGTCTTCTTTAAATAGTGCATAATATTTAGATGCGACTTAACTGAATCGGCTGCAAATTTGTTGTAATTAAAACACACTGGTAGATTGTTAGTTGTTCAAGTCTACAATACGCATTTATTTATTTACGTAATAAAATAGTTATACAGCTTCTGGTCTATGAGGCTCTATGGGTTCTACTAATGGATGATACCGGCCGTCGATCAAAGGCGCATAACCAGTTAAACCGACAAGTTAGCGATGCAATACATTAATTTTCTTTGGCATTTACCGGTAACTCATCATCCATTATCAGCCCGATTAGACACAGATATTGTTCCTGACTGTTTATCCATTTATTATGATCACGTTTAGTGAGTGCATTTTTCAATCGCACAGGGGGTGCTCAGAAACACATTAGAAACAATCTAACGCTATCATTTAGATCTTTTACTTGTAGGTATAATTTTTCTTTGTGATCAATTGATTTGGCATGAGGATGCCCTGAAAGCAATTTTCATGTGAAATCACTTGAAGCAATTAATCTAAGAGTAGTCGCTTAATTAATGCTGTTACATAATCCGTTTATCTAGAAAGAGTGGGTTGATTTGCTTCAATATTTATACATATGAGCATATACACTATATATACATATACAATCTTTGTACAGATGAGCTGTTGTTGGTCACTTAAGATGACATATATAAAACGAGCAGAGCCGACCTAAAATTTCGAAATTTTTTGTTTAAAACGATCAGCTTTTAAAAGACTATTTCGAATTAATTTATAACATGATTAATATAATAATAGTTAATTTTTTAACCCCCCAAAAAGGGGATTTTATTCATATTAAAAAGGACGAGAAACCATAAAAAAGTTTTGATGTTCATCATTTACTGGGGACAGACCAGACATGAAAAAATGAGGTAAAATAAATTATTGTAGATGCCAACGATAGATTTTGGAACGACACAATGCAATTTAAACACGGAGAAGGATGCAAACTTTTGACACACAAATACGTTTGGCGCACAAAACAGATTCACCTAAAACCCTGTACAAAAATATTTAATTAATTTAAGTACTTAATTATGAATATCGAGGAAGCGAACTTTATCTGAGTGAACTGGTGGTAGACTGTGGTGCTGTTTTTTCAGTACCTACTCACAAGTACGTAAGAAAAAAAGTGCAACAACAACACTCAACCATCAACACGTTTCGTGAAATTGTTTTAGATTAATGGCCCGAATCGTATGACAACAATCGCTTGATTTTCCATTTTCCAAAATTATTTCGGAAAATTTGTGGTGATTATCATTAGAGATTAATTATTATTAGGGAAAAGTTTTACTGTCTACGGTTTAAATTAAGTGAAATCTATTATTTTAGTTCAGATTGCGCGCATTTGAAATTAAGATTGGAGTTGCTATTGCATTCCGGTTAGCATTGCGGATTTAATTCGATTAAACAAATCGAATTGTTGTTTCCATTATTAAACCCCCGATATTAATACTCTATGGGTACTTTCCTTCAGTAATTGTTACTATAATAACTGAACACATTTCGATAGATACATGAAATTATTATTATTATTTTTTAAATAAACATGAAATGACAAAACAAACAACAAAAACAGCGAAGAACTAAGAAAAAGTATAGAAAGTATTTGTGCGACCTGGGCTGTATTCTTTGGAAATATCCATACATTTATATTATCTGATTACGAATACAGACCATCCACAATGAATAAAAACCAAAATATCGAGAAGTCCGTCCGATTCCATTTTCGATTTCCTTAAGAAATATGAATTACACTGGCACAAATTGGTGTATGTTGAGTGATTATTCTAAAACTCTCGAAACAGAATTACTTTAAAATTGTGAAGCTAAAAATATTTATTTATAAATACTGAGTGAACTGGTGGTAGAAATAAAATTATTAATGACGACTTTATCACTCTCCAGGATGATTCAAAATTGGCGCCATTCCATTCAATTATTATAATATAAGTTTAGGAAATTGTCATGACGAAACTCCGGAAACATTTTTGGGTTTATTTTTGGTTCTTAAAAAAGATGTTTAATATCAGTTTTTCTACTAAGCAATACTTTACAGTAATTGCACAGACATTTTTCAGATTAGCAGTCTAGCTAAACACGACCAATAAAATATTGGAGGACCAAACTTGCCTAGACATCTATTTGGAAAAATTACGGTTTTCTGCAAGTTTTCAGAAAAAAACCACATCGGCTTTAAAGCAGATATTTGTAGACAAACATGTCAGCGTAAGACCTTATTTGTGATTAGTTCTTAAATTGTATTCTTCAAAACTTAAAAAGTATTAATGTCAGAAATGTCGACTTTAGTTTTCTTCGTGAGACGCTAAATGAGTTCAATCTTCTACTACAAATTGATTCTATTAAGAAAGTGAAAACAAGAAATCGTATGGAACGATTAAGAAGGTTGGAGCTTGACAGGGTTAAACATTTACAAAGGTATGAAAAATAATTTAAGTGTTTTGCGTAT